CCAGCACAAGAGCCAGGCTTAGGAAGTTCTTCAGGAGACAGCCCAGCTTTACACTCACACAAGAGGGAACCTGGGGGGGAGAAACAACAGAAAAGCAAGTCAAAGCCAGAGCATTCTGACTAATGTGCTGCAGCAGTGTGTGTCCGTCGGCTTTCTGAAAACGCTGCCCAATTCTCACTTTACTTTCCAGCTTTTACTCACTGTCAGGGTTGTTTCTGGGTGTTTTCCCACCAGTGGCAGCGACAGGAACTGCTGTCTGTCCTGTGACCTGGGTATGCCGTGGGTTGTCGGGCCCTTTTCATCCCCGAAAGGAAGAGAGGTAGTGAGCAGCAGGGTGTAGATTGTAAAAATGAAACTCAACACATGTGCAGATCAGTCTCTGCAGGGGCTGGGAGGAACAGGAGGGTGGATTAAGCTACAGGAGTTGCTCCCTGTGTGTGTCCTGCCTCACCCTGGCTGGGCAAAGGTGGGAAGGTTAATGGTGCTGAGTTAACTGTTGGACCTGGTGATCGGAGAGATCTTTCCCAACCTACATGATTCGTCGAGAGAGGAGTTGCAGTTGTGAGGAGCTTGACTTCAGGTCTCCAGCATTGGTGGTGAGTGATTTAGACAGCACAGACCCTGTCTGGACACTCTGCAGTGGAGGAGAAGAGCACATTTGCCCTTCAGCTGCTGCAGTGGGTACTGAGAAGGTGTCCGAGGCTGCTGAGGATGGAGAGGGTACTTTCATTTTTGCTGCCTCAGTGCAGGGCAGGAAACCTTTGTCAAAAGGAGGGGACAGCAGTTGGGAGGAGTGTCATATACTGGGCATGAGGATTGAGAGTCAGAGGGCCCTGTGGTCACCAGCACTGCCACCTGCAGATGTGCTTTGTGGGTTAAGCAGCAGAGTTGTGGGGAGAAAAGCCTTTAGCTCTTTTTACGTCTTTTTTTTTGGGTATGTAGTGGGTTGCAGTGCTGTCCTGTGGTGGTACTGAATCTGTCTGAAGGCTGTAGTTAAGTATTATTTGCAGCTTCACAGCTCGTCTCTGTGGTTCAATCCATTGCTTTCCAGTTCTTGTATTAAGTGTAGTGCAAATAGTGACTGAGGGGGAATTGCTGATGTGCTTGAATACATTATTATTACTGGTATTTCCTTCACTGGCAAAGATGAAAGTGAATTCCTCTTCCACATGTTACCTTTAACATACTTTTGTGAGGTTGCTCAAGCTCAGGTTAACTATTTTAGTAAATGTCTTTCAGCCAAGCCTAAAAAAACCCCACCATTAATTGTGTTGTCTGATTCTGTCTGAGAAATATGAACCTGACATCTCCTTTGCTGGGTTACAGACTGCTGGCAGGCACGGGGGGAAAAAAATTCCCCATGTCCTTGCAATTCCCTGCACAAGGCATGAATCAGCAGGACAAGCACACGTGGGTGGTGGTGCAGGAGTGACTACGTCTGGCTGCTGGGATCTGAACGGGCTCCTTCTCCTCTTTGGGGGACTGAGAGAGCAGAAACGGAGCCTCAGAGTGTATTTGCACGCTCCTTTTTATTTTTTTTTTTCCCCGTTTCTAAAAATCCCTCCTCCAGTCATTGCCCATAATGCCAAACCTCCGTAGCAATTCCCGAAGTACTTCCTGACGCCGTGGAAGTTTCCCTTGCGTGATGAAGCCGGGGTAAGGATAGAGGAGAGGGGAACTGCTCTTTTCTTCAGCTGAGTGCAGAAGAAAAAGACCTGTTTGGATTTGAACCTGGACAAAATGATTGATTTTTTTTGGTTCCCCCCCACCACCTCTGATGGTAACTGAAGGATTGGAATTCTGCTTCCTGGAGCTGTGTGATTTATTTAAATCCTGAATTCGAAGCTGCCCTGCATTGAAATGGGCCTTTGTGCAAACTAGGTGTGAATTTAGCACTTTATTTTAAACAACGATCTTTGAAGCAGCCGCTCAGAAATTTCACTACTTTGTGTTAGTAAATAAATCACAGTTGAAGTTTTTCCTTAAAGCTGAGGTTTTCCTAAACCACGGTTTTAATGAGCTGGAAGGAGCCAGTCCCTCGGGTGGGAAGCTGATGCCTGGGCTCTTTGTGCCACTCCAGTTTGCTCCACCAGCCCCACGGTTTGTTTTCCCCCCGTGGAGCTCCTGGGCTGTACTTGGAGCGGGGTCAAGGATCTCTCTGAACACTTTGAACACTCAGCAGCTGATGGGAGCTGCAGCTCTGGGGGTTCTGCTCAGATGCTGTTACACCAGTTTCTTGAAGTGCCTGATTTTCTTCTGGAATAGATTTGGATTTTCCATATACTTGCTTCCAACTTGTTCTGCAGTTTCTTCTCTTGGCTGCACAAGATGCTAAGGAATAACTCATTTTGGATCAAGAATCTCTAATACTGGGCATGTGATGAGCTGCTTCTGTCACTGAAAATGAAGAATTTTTACTAGAGTGAGAATTTATTTTAAAAACGAGTCAATAGAAGTGCTGTTAATTTTTATCGATTGATTGATTTATTGATTTGATTTGTAACCTGAATACCACATTTCAGCATCGTTAATTTGGTGACTGGGCTCTCTGAGGGAGCATGTGGGGGAATTACCGTGGGTTTGGAGGGCCAAGTCTGTTCTTGTCCAGTTTCAGATGCAGGTGAGTTGTTTATCCTTACATCCTGCTCTTGCTATTATCAGACAGCTCGAAAAAATCTGCACAGGTGGAGGAAATTATTGTTTTAGAAAAGTACAAAAGGCTACTCATGATGTTTCTTTCTTCACACAGTTTGTATCATTTTGGCATTCAAGCTATATGATATGCTTATTTGCCTACTGTGATTTTTTTAGCTGTCTGATTGCATTTGTTCAAAAGAAGGAATTCTTTAACTGTCTGTTCCCACTTGGATAGCTAAGGACCCTCTATCCTGCTGTTTTCTGAGGTTTGATTAGCAGAAGGGACATAGATTATGGTCCCCTGTGCTGCCATCACTCCAAACCCAACTTCAATAGGACTTTCCAATATGTATCTGTATATATGAATATATATTTTTAGGAATATACATACATATCTGTATGTATGAATATGCATTTTTTACATTTTTGATTGAATAAATCAGTTTGACTTGGTGGATATATTGTGTGTATATATAAGGTGAATACCTTATATTTGGTTTATACATCTCAAATTGGTGTCAGGTATTTGGTGCAAACAGTGTGTTGTAAGGGAAGCATTTGGAATTAACATCTCTGTGGGTAGGCTGCTCAGGCCTGCTGTTGGATTGCAGGATACTTAATTTTTTTTCCTCCATGTTGCAGTGCAGGTACTGGAAAACACAGAATGTCCTGTAGATAAGTTGCAGCCTCTGAAAGAGCGATCAGTAAGAGAATTTGGAAGAGTGTTGGGTGGTGGGAATCGCTGCCTGACTCCCAACTGCATCCCTGCAGACTCGTGGGGGTGTGGCAGGGCTATTTGTCACCCCATCATCAGCAAAGGGCTCCAGGGCAGGTCTGTAGAGGTGGGTGTTGCACAGCTCGGGGAGCTCTTCCCCAGCAGCCTCCAAGTCAGTGGAGCAACCAGCACATGTCCAGTTTTTACTGCACTGCCAGAGTGTTGTGCTGCTTGTGCCTCTGAAGGTGTTTGTGCAGAAATGATGTGCTTTCGTGGGCATTTATGGGGATAATTAATTTTAATTTCCCTGGATCTTAACGACATAAACCAGTGTGCTCTTGTGCTGCCCCAGTCCAGGCTGCTGGCCTGATTTGTGTCCATCTGTTGGGATTTGTCAGCATTCACCCACCCTGTGAAATGACAGGGAATGACAGTCCACGAGCTTCTAGTTCTGCTGCTCAGGCCCTGCTGGCAGGATGCAGGTGTCGTGTGAGTCGTTGGGTAGCACAATAATTGAGAGGGGATTGCACTGTCTTGTCCTGGCTCTTGTGAATAATGACACTGATAACATGTGGCTGCGACTGAGTCATGCCCTGGCACCGTGATGGGAAGTTGGTAGGCACCAGGAGGCCATTCATTTCCCAAACTGTTGTGAGAGGAGAAGGAGGAGGAAATATGTTGGCTCCTGTTCCAAAGAGGTAGCTTGTCATTTGAGTGAACAGAGGAATTAGGTGCTTGTTTGTTACTCAGCTGTTATTGAGAGGTAATTTCTGTAAATCTTTCTTTGTGCCATTTACTCTGTATCAGAGAGGTGCCTGTTTCCTGGTGATCAGAGAAAAATCTCCAAAATATTATGAGGAGGGAGGAAATGCCAGCGCAGATTTTTTTGAATAGGGAATGTGTCATGTAGATGTTTTATCGTGCTGTGGTTTTAGCTTTAGCAGCTGTTTGCCCATGTTCTCGCTCATGTTTTTGTTCAGGATTCAAAAAGGATTGGGGTGATACTATATATGCTTTTTTAGAAAAGGAGAAGGTGTGGCACCAAGTGGGGAAGCAATGCAAGGCCCCATTCAGAAGTGGAGTGCACCCTGTGGATCTTAGTCCTGTGCTCTTTAACGTAGGCTGTGTAATATGGGTAGAGATTCTTAATGCAGCTTGATGTGGACAGTGTGCTCAATTGTGACTTACTAACATAAGCAGTTCTTTTGTTCCCAAGATCTTGTCTGATAAATGACAAGAAGGAAAACATCTAAGGCTTTTAAAGCTGTTTGGTACTAGAGCATGAAGCTCTTTGGGCTAGAGCTACCCTTAAAAGATGTTGTACTTGTGCCCTTACTGTGCCCTTTGTGTGAGCAGGGAACCAGATCTGGGAATTGTTCATTTTGTCTGGGTTAGTTTTATCACTGGAAATGTTTGTTGCTCCATCCCACAAATGCTGCTGCTTGCACAAATGAATGGGTGGCCCAGAAGTGGGAATGAGGAAGGGATTTGCTTCCTTTGGTGGAGGTGTCAGTGCCTGCCCGTGCAGTGCTTGCTGTGTTCCTCAAAGTTGAATTCACACCTCCTTCCACTTGTCCAACAGAAGAAATGCTACATTCCTGCATTCCTGTGCTCTTTTTCTATGTTAACACAAATATTTCTCTTCCAGGGCTTTCACTAGCTATTGAGAACCATGTCTGACAACGGAGAACTGGAAGACAAGCCACCAGCTCCTCCTGTCCGGATGAGCAGTGTCATCTTCAGTTCAGGGGGCAAAGATCCTTTGGCCGCCAACCACAGCTTGAAACCCCTGCCCTCTGTCCCAGAAGAGAGAAAACCTAGGTCGAAAATCATCTCCATATTCTATAGCAATGAAAAAGGTAAGATGCCTCTCTTTTCCGAGGTATTCCTTTGCTCTCCTTGTAAGTTTTGGTCCTTTAGATGTCCTTTAGACATCTGAGTCCAGCCTGTCCAAGCATAGGGGACTGGAAAACCACCACCACACCTATTGCTTCTCCTGTTTACTGCCCAGTTTGAAGAAATGCATTTCCAAACAACCCTGGCATTCCTGGGGATCATGTCACTTAAATGCAGATTTCTGGTTTAAACTGGGCATCCAGCTGGTTTGGAAGTTATTTCATGTTGATGATCATTCATGTGGCACCTTGAGGAGGAAAAAAGATAGTAAAGAAATAGTAGTGAAAGTGCAGTGTGCATGTGGGAAAACTGAGAGAAATTACATCCTTTTACCTGTGGAAATGCACTGTTAGGATTGATTACTCATGGGGGAAAACCTGAGTTGCTGTAATCAGGATTATTTCTGGGAAAAATTTTGCTATAATGAAACTAGACTGTGGTTGTGTGTTGTTTCTGTCCTCTTTTTTGTATATACAGCACTGGAGTCTAATCCTGTCTCTCCAGGGTGTCTGTATCTGTACAACAGAAGGGTGCATAGACAGAAATATCTTCTAGCATCTGGGTGGTAAAACTGCACAGGCAGTTAAGCCTGGCCTGAGGCAGCTCAGGGACTTAAGCCTGACCTGTATCTGCTAAGCATTTTATTAATCTACTAGTTAACATTTTTCTGGTCACTATTAATATGCCCCTTGGAGAAGAGCCTGCTGCTCTTAGTTCCTTCTAGTTGTGCTCTTGTCTCCCTGTGCCTTGCTGCTGGTGTACTGTAGAGGTGCAGGGCTGATTTGGTCATGCCAACACAGGTTTGGTTGTTTCAGGAGGTTTTGCTCCTCTGGTTGTTTATTCTCGTGGCTGAGTGTTCTCCCCAGGGCTGGTTTTCACTCTTGCTCAGCTCTTTGAGCAGTCCCTTTGCAGCCATGCCTCACCTGGAGGGCAGGCTTCCCTCTCATTCCAAAGCCTGGCTTTCCGCTCTCAACAGTAGGTGTGTTTTCCTTTGGGGAGGATGGAAGGATTTTTGGCCGGTGTAGCTTTGGGAAGCAGCACAGTTACTTCACAAGTTCATTTCTAGTGAATTAGCCGCCCATGGCTGGGTTGCAGGAGTAGCAGTGGTGGTCTTTTTACTGACATGGGTGAGCCTGAAGGAGGTGAGTCCGTAAGCAGACAGTGAGAAGCTACTACAGGTTGGTGGCAGCACCCCAAGAGAGACTCCAGACCTCTGAGGGTGGTGAATTTGGGTGCTGAAGGTGGCAAATCTGGGTGCAGTCAGCTCGGGGTAGTGGCACGTGCCTGGAGCAGGTTCTGGCTTAGCCCTTCAATCCTGCAGAAACTGGTGTTTTACTATTAAATTGTTGGTTGTGGGAGGAAATGCCTGGAATTTGTCGTGGCGAGTGCTGCAAGGAAATCTTGTGGGGGAATCAGACCTGCCCATCTTCAGGCAAGAATGGTTTAGGAGCTGGGATGGCACTTGTCATGTTGCAGTGGTGGTTCGTCAGAGCATTTGAGCCCTTTTTACAGAGTTATAGTAAAGTAGAACATAAACCCCATGTGAAGGAAGGTTTTGCTTGCTCTGAATTAGTAAGACAAGTGAATTATGAATACAAGTGGGTACAGTACAACTGGAGAGTTTTGTGACGTTCCATAGCACCTTTTCTTCTCCACGGATGTTTTCTCTTTCCATCTTGATGGTGGTTTTGTTGGTTGCTGAAATGTCTGGGGAGGTGGTTGAGGAATTATCTAAAATTGTATTGGCTCATCTGAGATTGCTTTGGAGTCCCATTAAGTTTATTCAGACCACTCTAAATACTGGTGTGTACCAAATTTAGGGAAATTTATCTGCATACTTGGTTAGAATGTGTGTCTATCTACTGATACTTAGTGTTACAAATTAAAATGGAAGGAGTAATTTCTGCTGAGAAAAATACATTTTAAGAAAAATTGTGTCCGTTGGTGTTTTCTAGATGTCAAAAATTCATTCAGATAATGTACTTCTGAAAAAAAAAAAAGGCAGATTTTCCTGTTAGTCGAGATAATGTGGTTAGGAAAAATGAAAATTGAATTACCTAACTGGAAGAAACTATCTGAAAGGTGTAGTTTTTTTGATTTGGAAGAAACTTGTCTATTGGATGACCCACAACAAGGCTAATGCAAACATCCAAAGAAAGGATTTTGGCCCTCAAGTCTGCAAAACTGGCTGTCAAATGTAAGCAGAACAGAAGTGGACACAGTGTCTTTCTGGCACTAACACAATAGTCAGATGGTAGTTGTTTTGTTCATTAGCATGGCTGGGATGCACCCTCCCCAGAAATGCTCAGTTAAATCCTTTTTTTCTTGAAATTCAGCTGCTGGGAAGCTTTATAGAAATATTAGCCTCATGCTTGGATTTAAAAAATACACTGGGACTAGATGCAAAATAATCTGTCAGCCTGGGATAGAAATTTTGCCATGGGGAAAAAATTTCTCCAGCTGGTGCAAAAGTTAACAAATCACTACAGAAATGGTAAATTCTCCTTTTCAGAAAATGAAGGGATGCCCTTGCTGTTATCCAGGAATGTTGTTTGGCTTTGTCTGAAAACCTCTGTCCATATGATTTTGTAAGGTCCTCCCTCTTGGGAGGTTTCTGTAGCTGAGGAGGGGATGTGCTTTGGGGGACTCCCTGCAGGTGATGAGATGTAGCAATTACACAGTTTCTGCCCCAAGTCTGAGCTCGTTCTGTGCTGAAATAATCATAAGAGTTTGAAGGGATTATTTAATCACCTCGTCACGGAGGGTTTGTTCCCCCTGGTTCCATTGTTTAGGATAAATGAAGCGATAGTCATCTTCTTACTAGAGTACTTAATCACCATGAATTTCCTTGGCCTGACTTCTGAAGTCAAAGGAACCTCTGTGTGGTTTTGGAAAGCTTTAAAATAGTCCCCTAAAAGAAGAAATGTTTGAGCAGAACGTGCTGATGGCACCACCCAGGGTCGCACATGTGGCGCGCTCAGGGCAGATTTCGGTGTGGTTTCAGCTGGAGCTCAGTAACTCCAGATTTCACCTGGAGTCAGCTGCCTGCTACCACCAGCTGTTGGGAAACAGCTGTGATTCCTGCCTTGTGCAGGGGATTTGGCTGGTGGGAAGCGAGGGATGTGTGAGGATGGGTTTGCCGTGTGAAGTGCCCAGGGTGGTGCCTTTGCTGCGAGTGCCTGTGGCTTCATTTGGGGAAGAGTCCAGTTGTGTTTGAGTTGAGTTGTATTTTTGAGGCACCTCCTTAATCACACAGCATTTCTCCAGCTCACTAAATCCTTCCAAAGGACCTGTGTGTCTTCCCCTCCCGGGAACAGGGGGACTATGCTGCTGTCCCTGCAGGTCCAAGGGGCAAAGTTTTGGCATTTCTCCCACGACCAACAATTTAATAGTAAAACACCATTTTCTGCAGGATTGAAGGGCTAAGCCAGAACCTGCTCCAGGTGCCACTACCCCAAGCTGACAGCACCCAGATTTGCCACCTTCAGCACCCAAATTCACCACCCTCAGAGGTCTGGAATCTCTTTTGGGGTGCTGCCACCAACCTGTAGTAGCTTCCTGCTTACAGACTTATTTCTTTCAGGCCCACCCGTGTCAATAAAAGACCACCACTTCCTGCTTTCATTACTGTTTGAGGCAAGCGTTGCCCTTCACTAAAGGGATTCCCTTTGCAATCCAGAGCTGTTCCAGACCCAGCCAGAGGCTGGGAAGCAGTGTGGCCTCCCCGTGGCCTTGTTCTCAGAGCTCGAGGATGTCCTGCCAGCACATGACTCACCGGGCTTGCCTCTGGCAGGAGCTGTTTGTTTGAAGTGCTGCTCTGCTCCACTGTTCCTGTGGGCAGAGGAATGACTTTTAGTCTCCTTGCCTTGCCTACTGATGGGATCTATGTGTTTTTGGAAGGAGCGGGTTTATTTACACAGCGCATGCTGGATGGGTTCAGCACCAGCTCCTGTTCCCTACATGTCAAGTGCTCCTGAACAGGAACCTTCCCAAGGAATATAACTTTTTAAAATATATTTTTTCCCCTCTTGCTTTCACACAACTGCAAGAAATTGGGAAGAAATAGGGAGGAAATGGTGCTTTCCTCAGTTTTCACAGCAGCAGTTTCTCCTGTCCCGTGACCGAAGGCTCTTAATGAGAACGTCTGACAGCCCGTTTGCTTTTTGGCTCTGCCCTGTGCAGCCATATTAAAGATATCCTGTTTATAGCAGCCGTGTCTTTCCACGGCATTGTTCAGCTGCAGGCAGCCCACATGGCTTTTCATTTGGGAGCATTGTCCTCGCTGCCTGTCCTTCCCTTCCCGCCAGCCTGAGGGGATTTCAGGGATTTCAGGCGGATTCCTGGCTCGGAGCGGCACCGTCTGTGCTTGCTGCGGGGTATTGAAGAGGGTGCTGCTTTACCTGCTTTTTCTGTACTGAAACAACAGGATTTTTGAGGTGAATTTAAAAACAAAGCAGAAAAAAAAAAAATTTAAACACACACCCCCCCAACCCTCTCCCAAAACCCCCCAGGCAAACAAACGAACAAACAAAAAACCCAAAGCCCCAGGCTTTAGAAAACATCTTATAAATTTAATTGGATCTGGGTTGGATTGTGCGCATGGTCTTCCTAATTATCTGTTCCTGCTCCTGGTACTTGGTATGCTCTTTTTTCCCTTTTAATTTAAATTAGGTAATTGCTCTGAGGCTATAAACTCTTATCTTCATCACAGGAAGTCCTATTTTGCATTAATTAACTTGAATTGAAGCAGTGAGGCAACTGAGTTTTAGGTGTCTTTAGGGTGAACTTGAGGTTGAACTGAAGTTGCCTTCACTGCTTTTCTTAATCCATATTAAAATGTCCTTTTTTGCATTGTAAACATTTAAAAAGTTCAGATTTCATGTGCTCAACAGAGCACTCTGGTGCTCTTAATCACTTATTTTCTTGCTGCTGTAATATAAATTATTTGAATGGAACAAGGCGTTGATTTTTAGAATCACAGGATGGTTTGGGGCGGAAGGGACCTAAAGACCACCCAGTCCCACCCCCTGCCATGGGCAGGGACACCTTCCACTATCCCAGGTTGCTCCAAGCCCCGTCCAACCTGGCCTTGGGCACTTCCAGGGATCCAGGGACAGCCACAGCTTCTCTGGGCAACCTGTGCCAGGGCCTCCCCACCCTCACAGGGAAGAGTTTCTTCCTGACATCGAGACCTTTGAATGTCTTTTTCAGGAAGCAAGAAGAAAGAAAAGGAGCGGCCAGAAATCTCCCCGCCGTCAGATTTTGAGCATACCATCCATGTTGGCTTTGATGCTGTCACTGGAGAGTTCACGGTGAGTATTCCTGCCTTGGGGTGCCTTGGAAGACACTCGTGGTCAGTGCTGTAGTGAAACCAAGGCAGTGCTTTAGGTTAAAGTGCAAGTTTAGTCTCTATTTATATCAAAGAACTAATTTTCCTATGTGTTTGTACAGCACACAGAGTTATGATGCCATGACCTGTTAGTGCTTCTCCAGTGTCAGTGTCACATCTGGTGCTTTGTGTCACAGCAGGAAAACCCTCCCTGACAAAGCTCCCTCACTTTACTGTTGTTAGTGGGTAACAGTGGTTCTGCTGAGCGTTGTTGTGTCCCCATTCCTCACATCTGGCTCAATACAGCTGCAAGAGGTGCTGCTGTGTTGGCACCATGGTTTGTGTTGCCACCTGTGGCTCCCCATTAAGCACATGTTGCTCATGTGCTTAAGGCTGTGCTTGTTGTGCTTTTTATAGAGGGAAGAAGTTTGGTTTGCTCTTTAAAAATCTTTAAAACACTAGAACACTTAAAATCCCCTGTTTTTTCAGGGAATGCCAGAACAATGGGCTCGGTTGCTTCAGACCTCAAATATCACCAAGCTAGAACAGAAGAAGAACCCCCAGGCAGTACTGGATGTGCTGAAATTCTATGACTCCAAAGACACAGCAAAACAGAAATATCTGAGTTTTTCTGCTCCAGGTGAGAGCCAAGTGTGTGCAAGACATATTGGAGTTGGGTATTTGGAGCACAGTCTTCCTCTCAGAATAATAGATCAGGTTCAGATGCTGATTCAGTGAGGAACAAATACTTGAAGGTGGATTTAAAACTTACTGGAAACTGGCGTTGTCCAGTTAATTTCCTGTTTTAAGTAGAGAGTGGAAGAAAGAGCTGGATAATTCACAATAGCAGCCAAAATGAACTTGAAGGGGCTGTGTTTCTGAAGCTGGAGCTCTGAGACTGGGATGAACTGGTTTCATGCTGGAACCCTTTCTCCTCACAGTTGTCTGTGAGCTTGATGTCACCAGCTGGTGACATTTTGCAAAGATGCAAAATAATTTGTGACTCCCAGATTGGGAGCCAGTTGGGAGGGCTGAGAGAAGGATTGTCCTACAAACAGGTACAGTTGTGCCTACTTTTCTTCCAAATTATTTGTAGCTTAGTAATAAGGCTGTGTAATACTTTCATTCTTTACTCTATATAAAGTTCACTTTGTGTTATTTTTTTTCTGATGATTTTATGTATTCTGCTGTTTGTCCTATTTAGAAAAAGATGGTTTCCCTTCAGGAATGCCAACGGTGAGTGTGTTTATTATTATTTGGATATCCTTAGGTGCATACTAATTCAGGTCTTCTGTATTTGTTATATCCTGAATTTCGAAATATTAAACTGTATAATGTTTAAAATATCGTCATAAAAATGAGGATATTCTTGGTGGAATAAAAACATAAATTGTGGGGGTCAGCAGGGCATATTTTCACAGGAGTGACAGTATTTGAGTCTCATAAAATGTAATAACTTAGGGATAGGTTGATTGGTTTGTTATTTTCTTTTGACATCAGTAAGAATTCTTTTATCTTAATGTGAAAAAAAAAATCAAGTCTTTAATACTGTGGGGGAGACACATTTGTTTATTTATTTATTTTTTTTAATGTTGGTAAAAATGTAGACCAATGCCAAAGGTTCAGAACCATCAACAACTGTGGCAGATGAGGATGAGGATGATGAAGAAGCTCCTCCTCCTGTGATTGCTCCACGGCCAGATCACACAAAATCGGTGAGCAGCTGGAAGACTTGACAGTGCAGAATTTTGGAATTCTTTGTATTGCAGAACTTCTGCATCTGTTCTCTAGAAAAGTGTTTTATTTGTGAAATGAGCTGTTGTAAGATTTTTGGGAAGAGTTCTGTTTTTTTGAATTTGCCAAGAAAATACCTAATTTCTGGATGTCAGTTGGACCAGAAATCCTGAAGTAAGTGGAATCACAGAATCATTTAGGTTGAAAAAGACCTCTGAGATCACTGAGATTTGGTGATCTCTTGGTTAGCTTGTGTTGAAGGTATCCAGTTAAGCTTATCCTTCAACCCAGTGTGTGAGGAGGAGGCATTTTAGTCCTAAAAATCTATAGGTAGTTTCTGTAACTTGGCCCAGCCCAGTGGCACAAGTGTAGTGTGTTTGATTTTCTTCATTTGATTTGGTGGCAGTGTGACAGCCTCACCAAATACACTATCTGGACCCAAACCAATTCAGATTCAAGACTTGAAAGCTTATTTCACTCACAAAGCCCTCAGCAGCCCATGAACAGTTAAATGCTTCAGAAGTTGTTCATTAAGTTTTAGTGTAGTCCTGAACTACCCACCCTGGTAATAACATCTCAGGGATCCCACTTAGTCCAGCTCCTTCCTTTGGCTGTGGTAGCTGTACATTTTGCCTCTTTGTTGCCCACTTTTTCTCCCTCCAGGAGTGCAAATGTGAATTGTGTTTATTTGTCAACTGGTACTGCTTTATAATTGCCCACTCTTGGCATGTAGACATATAAAATGTGAGAGCTGGATATTTCTAGAGTAGCTGTGCATGTCTGAACAGCTCAGGAGGAAATTAAATAAATCTCCAAGAAATTAAATCTTTTTAAAAAAACCTCAAATTGGGGGCAACTGGGAAATTTTTTAGAATCTCACGCTTCTTTTCATGGCAATCATGAGTCTTTTTCCTTTAGATCTTAATCTCACTATTAATCAGTGATTACTTCTCTGTTAACTAGCATGGGTTATAAAGAATAAGCAGGTAAAAAACTCATGAAACATCTGTCCTTGGAAGTTGGGGTTAACTTCCTGGCATCCACTCTGTTCAGGAGGTGCCTTTCAGAGGTCAGTACTGTTGCCAGGGGACTTCAGTGTTTCTCAGGTCTAATTTCTGCCTCCTACCTGTTATAAAATGGTGCCTTAGGGGTCTTTTCAGTGCTGTGATTGTTTTCAGCTGAAGGTCAGCGATTGCAAAGCCGATGCTCAGGTCCATGGTCTCCTTCACAGATTTATACCCGCTCTGTGATTGACCCCATCCCTGCCCCAGCTGGTGACTCCTGTGCTGACAGCGCCACGAAATCGGGGGATAAGCAGAAAAAGAAGACCAAAATGTCAGATGAAGACATCATGGAAAAACTACGTAGGTGATTTTATTTCAGATAAACAAAGGCTTTAGGACTGGGAGAGGAATATTAAATTTTTGCCCTCGTCCTTATTTCTGTGTAAGAGTTGTGTGGATACCATGCTCAACTAGTTTTGTGTCAGTAGCTGAGAAAAATGTACTCAGAGGTTATGCTGATTTATAATCTTCAGAGCCCTGTTGGGTAGAAAAATATTATAGAAGAGGTTTTTTTTGTTGGTTTTTTTTTTTTTATCAGAGTTCAGTTGTGATAATGTGATCTGCATGTATGTTACAGCTATAATAACACAAAGTAGTTTCTGCTGGGGCTTGTTCCATAAGCACCTTGAAGATAATTTTTCAGCGTATTAATGTTCCTGTGCAGCTTTGGGTGTGCATTAGCTTTGCTCCTTGAACTTGGACATATCTTGGCCAGGCCAGCCCTGCTGAAGGGGGACAGTGGGATTGGATTGACTCTTCTGTTGGTTTTTCTTTTAGGCACTATTGTAAGCATAGGAGATCCCAAGAAAAAATACACCAGATATGAAAAAATCGGGCAGGGGTAAGTGTTCCCCCCAACTTTTATTCCCAGTGGACCAGTGTTGGCAGCACTGTGCTGTTCTCTGTCTCATACTGTCCTGTACCCACCTCTTTCTGTGCAGGCAGAAATGTTGGCTGCATTCAGCAGTGATGAATCACAGAATCCCAGAATAGTTTGGGTTGAAAAGGAACTTAAAGCTCCCCTCATTACACCCTCCTGCCATGGGCAGGGGCACCTTCCACTAGCCCAGGTTGCTCCAAGCCCCGTCCAACCTGGCCTTGAACACTTCCAGGGATCCAGGGGCAGCCACAGCTCCTCTGGGCAACAAACTGTATAGTAAATAAACAGTGAAGGCTTTACACAGTGGTGGAAATTTTGAATTGAAAGCTGAAACAATTTTGTGTTTGTGATTTGGCTGTTTGCTTGTGTGTTTGTTACAAAGAGATGCAAGTTGCTGTAACATTTTCCTTTCTCTTCACAGGGCTTCAGGTACAGTTTTCACAGCTATTGATGTGGCAACAGGGCAGGAGGTAAGATTCCTGCGTTCGTTTTCTCTCAAGATATCCTTCTGGAGGTGGCCAGAATTTCCTTCAGTGCCTCCCATATCTGCTATCAGCTCTCAGAAGAATGTTTGTCATAGTCAATTGTAACAGTGTGTGCCTTGTTCTATAGTAATCAGATGGTGAAAGCTTGAAAATAGAGTTCTGTCTTTCCAGTGAAAAGCAGAGGGAGTGAGGTGTTCCAGAAATGAGTTTGGAAAACGGTTTATCCTTCAGGAACTGCAGGCCTTGGTGCCTTGTGTTTTCAGAAGTAAATCTTTGTTTAGGCTTTGCACACACGTTCTCTAGTCCCGACTCAGTAAAAGTGATGGTTGTTTCTGTCTCCGTGGAAACAGCTTGTCCCCTGTGATTCCCTGTTGTAGTTAGAATGTCTTCTCCACATCCTACTCTTTGCTTTTACCCCCTGGTTTCTCCAGACTCACTTAGTGAAATTGGTGACATCAGCAATACTCTGCATGTTTGTCATCAAGTGGCCATCTCTGGTTTCTGTGACTCAAATTTTAGGATTTATTTGCTTCTATTTAACTTTAGATTTCCTTACTTTTCTTTTAATGTTTCTATTTAAATTCTTTCCTTAATTTTCCTTTAAATAAGTATTTAAATACCATTTAAATACCATTCCTTAGGTCACTGGTAAGTAATCGCCCTTTCAGCAGTAATCACATTTACCAGTCTTGCAGTGGAGCACCACATCTTGATAAAACATGAGCCTGTCTATCATCTCTTAATTTGTGTCTTTTAATTTGCGTCTCTTAATTTGCTCTCTACTTCATGCCCTCTTACTGGCTGCAGAGTGAGTTTTAGAGCCCAGAGGGGTTGTGGAGTATCTGCTCCTTCAGGTCTCCATTCCAAACTCACTCACACGAGACCCTCAGCAACCTGCTCCACCTCCACTCTTAGTTATTTTATCATTCTGTGCCACAGAATGACAAGAATCTCTTCCTTTAATGCCCCTAGCAATATAATAATGATAATTTCTGTAAGATTACATTGGTTCTTGTGTTTGGTTTTGGTCTCATGGGTAGGTTGTTTTGTAGACCTCCAAACTACCTCCACAAAGTGCAGCTGACAGAGCTGGGACAGTTCTCCATTTTAAACTCTGGAATACTTGTCCTGGTTAGCTTATTTCCTGGGCAAGATAGGCCTTTATCTCCCCTTTTCTCTCTGGGACAGTTCATTGATTTAATTGCTTTGAGAGGAATTCCTTCTGCCTCCCAGCATTCCTTATACCCAAACACCAATCTGGTCAGAATATAGAACAACAAATTGCCTCGCCTTGCATTAGAAGGCTCAGACTTTCTCTCTGAGTTGCTACAAGATTCTCTGCTGCTTCAGGCCTGTTGATAGGAAATTGGGCAAGTCTTTTTATCTCCTGCATGCCCCCTTTTCTGTCTGTTCTGGCCTCAGTTACTGTTTGTGGATTCTTTCAGCTGCAAGAGGATGGGGTTGGCCACGGCTGCAAGTTGTGTGCTCATCAGGCTGCATTATTTTAAGTTGTGTGCTAATAAATAAATAACTTGCCAGTTGCAAGCTGTGATAAACAACTTTAATCCTGTTACAGAATTCCTTCTGACTTTTCACTATATTGAGTGAAAGCTTCTAATGGTTTCAGTGATTGCTGTTTTATTTTGCCCTGTTCAGGTGGCTATTAAACAGATCAACCTGCAGAAACAGCCCAAGAAGGAGCTGATTATTAACGAGATCTTGGTAATGAAGGAGCTAAAGAACCCCAACATAGTCAACTTCTTGGACAGGTAAATGCATCCAGCTGGTGATTCCTTCACCCCTGAGGGTTTCAAGAAGTTATACCCTATACAGACCTGGACTTCCTGTACCTGAGGGTCTTGGAAGCAAATGAATCTGTATTTAGGCTTGGTCACCTTGATGGCACACGGACATGCTTTTGGTTTTCTCTTTGTAGTTACCTCGTAGGAGATGAGTTGTTTGTGGTGATGGAGTATCTGGCTGGGGGCTCCCTAACAGATGTGGTCACAGAAACATGTATGGATGAGGCACAGATTGCTGCTGTCTGCAGAGAGGTGAGTGTTGGACTTGCTGGGTAGAGGGATGAAGGTGCACTCTATTCCCATAGCTTTTATGGAATGCTAAGGTTAGGACTAAATGCAACAATTGCTGTTGGAGCCATTGAGTTAAGAATGAATGATACCGTGAGTAGAAATCAATATTAAAGTTACAGAAAATAACAAAATTAGGTTAACTGAGAAAATTGAGGCGGTTGCAAGTTATAATAACATAAAAGAGCTGTGGCAGGTTTTGATCTGAGTGTTTGGTGGGAAACTTAGGGAAGGGAGCAAATAAAGTCTTTGGGTTTGGTACTTGGGTTGCCTCATCCTGCTGACAGTGTTAACAGAAAGATGTGAACAATGTGGACTGAAGTTCAGGGAGGAGCAGTGGAGAAGTTTAGCAGCTGCAAGGAATGGCTTTTTAAACTTCGACTAACAAAGAACATTCAAAGGCACCAAAAGAAAGAGTCTTGAGTATTCATGTATGGGTAATGTAGAAAAAAAAAGGAGAAGGAAAAAGCCTGAAAGCTTCCAAGTGTTTTCCAGAAGGAAGAAGGGGAACTGTGTTTGCTCCCAGTGTGAAAGTGGATCTGCTGAGACAGGAGTACTCTAAGAAACATGCACTAAAACAAAGATGAACTGGATGCAGATTATCTATTTTCCCTCTTAGTCATTCTCACAGTGTGTGAAATCTGTAGTTCTGTGCCAGTTAAGCTTCCTTGAGGGATTTCTCAGGAAAATAATTCTCCAGAAGGTTGTAGTTGGAATAATTGTAAGGCTGCTGGAAGATTTCAAATGAAAGAGTTAAAAGCAGCTGATATCACACCTTATCAGTGGTTTCTGCCCTGAGTCAGTGCCAGCATCCAGCTCAGGCTTGATTTATTACAGCAGAGGGAGAATTGTGTTATCTGCTGTGCAGGAGAGACCGAGGCTTTTAAAAAGCCCATCTGACTCCATCAGCATGACGTCTGCTTTTGTGCCTCACCCAGAGGGAGGGCAGGGAGAGCAAACTTGTGCAGGAACATGCATAGACAGGTAATGGTTTCCTGAGGAACCAGAGCTGGAAGCAGAGAATCCAAAGTAACTCTTTCTTGTAACAGTAATGAACTTTTCTGAGGAAGAAGTCAAATATTGAAGTATTGTACCTCATCAAAACTCTGCTGCCCACTATATTTTGCAAATCAGTGTCAATTTGCTAAAGCAAACAGAGATACACAAAACTCACTGGGGACATCCGTGCCAAGCAGCAAATGGCAAATGTTCTGCTTGTATTGAAAGAAAGATCTGACTTTTTTCTTTTGCCTTTTATTCTCAAATAACAAAAGTAAATTTCATTATGGTTTTGGGCAGAAACTTAGTGGGAAAGGTTTTAATCCGAAAACAATGCAAAACCAGTATTAGTGAATTTCAGAATGAAGATGTTTTACAGATTTCACTGTACAAATTGTGTGGATGTTGGGAATGAATCCTCACCAATTCCCCTTGGTGAGACCTCAGCCTAAAAAGCTCTCACTTAATCCTTTATGGTTCCTCTGTAGAATCTGTGGGATGTACCAGAATTAGCATCTGGGATTTCTGAGAGCATCTTGAGTGGTGTGGAGTTTTATATATGCATTTGTTAAGATAGAAGAAACTCTGTGGTTAAATGATTTTTGTCTTCCTGAAATCTGGAGAGTATTTTTTAGCCCAAGAGCTTCCTCTGCTGGTTATTTGCAATAATACCTGTTACATTTCTGCACTCAGAGCTGGCTGAGGGTGTAAACATTGCCTTGAATTTGTGTTCACATGTACCAGGCGTGTTTCCATGTGCTGAATGATGGGTTTTTTCTCTCCTATCCAGTGCTTGCAAGCACTTGAGTTCCTCCATGCCAACCAGGTCATCCACAGAGACATTAAGAGTGACAATGTGCTCTTGGGAATGGATGGATCAGTTAAATTAAGTGAGTAGCTGACAATTGTTTTAATGCTCTGCTTCTTCTTTCCAGTGATCTCTGACTCAGTGTGTGAATCAGTAGAAGGAGAGTTGGCAGGGAAATTTGAGGTGGATTTTTGTTGACTGTGAGGAATAGAAATTCATTCTGTGTTACAAAATGTGCAACAGGCAGCAGGTACTGAAATTCTGAGGCCCCTCAGACTCAGGCTGTGAACGTGTTAGCCCGGAAGGATGTTGAAGCAAACCTGTGGCCACATGAATACGTTGGTGAATATGAAGTAACTGGTGCTATAGAGTGAAGCAAAATGGGAATGATTGCAAGAGAAAAGTTGCAGCAAACTGCAGTAGCTTTGTTAGGATGTTATGGCTTGATTTTAGTGCTTTGCCCCATTCATTAGAAGGCCACCAACGAGAAAACTGTACTTTATTGATCATTTATATTGCAGTCTAGTCTTACCCTGTGCCTTTTCTTGGGCCAGAAGTGTAACATCCTTTCATTAATATAATCACAGCAAAAGAAACTTCTTGCTTTTCAGGTAATTGTTGTGCATGCATGGACTTGTGTACGTGGTGTGTGTAAATAAAAATGATGTGAAACCACTTGTAGCTGTCAGGACTGTTGAGAAAGTGGTGCATTATTTGAATTTTTGGTATGCAGGAATGTGTAGAACATATAGCAACCGAAGAGTTAAGGTAAAAATAGGTGTAAAGTAAAAAGTGTTTTTACAGTTGGGCAGGAATGTGAAGTGCCATGAAAATGTCTTAACAGTATTCCTTATTCTAGATGGTTTTCAATTTCATTTTATTTGTGAGATGGAGTGTGAAGGAAGATTATGAGCAACATGATTTGCTTACCAGCATCTTTGGATGCACTGCTCGCTTGCATAGAGGGGGTTCTTTGTTTTAAGGGTGTGATGTGTTTGTGCACAAGCTGTGGATTCAGAGGCTGAAGAGAAGTGAACACTTACAGCAGAGGATGTGGCTGAGAAGAAGTGGCTGGAGAAGGATCAAAATTGCACAAAAGAGGTGTCAAAGCAAAGCAGAGTGGCCAAAGGACAGGGTTGGCAGCCTGAATCAAGAAGCATCACCCCAGGAGACTGGGGGAGGATGAGGAGGAAGGAGACACAGGAGAAGACAGGAGTCAGCTGTAAAAATGCCCTGTGTGAAGGGGAGGTGTTGTAGTCAGTGCTGAGACAAGCTCTTCTGAGGCTGTGTGACTGTAGAGCTCCTAGCAGCTGTTAAGGGTTGGAGGGTGGAAGAAGTTGCACATTCTTTTTAAGCTCTTCCCCTTCTCTGAGGGAGTCTGGTGACAGGACAAGTGTCACCACTGCACAGCTGCACACACCTACACACAGGACTGCTGGGGGAAACTGGGTTCCTGCCTGTCTTTTCTCTCTGTGCTGGTGGTGTGGTGCTGAAGGCCTCACTGGGAGGTCAGGAGGCACAAACTGCTGCTGCTTCTCTGGGGTGGTCACTGAAATGGGCTGTGCTGTGAGTCGAGTGTGACACCTTGATAAGGCCAAAAACTGCAGGAGAAACTTGGTGACTCCTGTAGGTTTGATTTTTTTTGTTTGTTTGTTTGGGGTTTTTTGTTTGTTTTGTTTTTGGTTTTTTGTTTTGTGTGGGGTTGTTTGGTTTGGTTTTAAGGCAGCATTTTGACTATCAGGGTGGGGGTAGTTCTTTGTTAAATTGTCTTCTTGGTACAACTTGGCACTTCCATGACTGTGGCTCTTTTGTTAGCACTGCTTGGCATAACACTTTCAAAATTTAAATTTCTCTCTTTCTCTCCCTCCCTCTCCCTCCCTCTCCTTCTCTCTCTCTCTCTCTTTCTCTAACTTAGTGTCAATGATAAGGTAATATCTGTCTCCTGCCTTAACTGTGTTCTTATTGATGCTTTACATGCCTGGGAAGTGGGAGTGCTGCAGCTGGATAGAGTAACATGATGGAACGTGCATTGCTGCTGCACCTGAAGGCTGTAGGAATAGGTGACTTTTCTCATTTTCTTGAGTGTGGTTGTTCTCTTTGGTAGTTACCTTGTGGAGAGGTTTGTTTGTCCAGGTTCCTCCTGCTGAGTGGGGTAGCACTGCACTTACCTGAAGCCTTGTTTCCGTGTCCCTGTCAGCTGTAGTACCTGTCTAGATGGCCAAATTGCTGTGAAATGTTCAACTCAGTAGCTGCACAAGTACCATCTGTTTAGAAGGGCAGAAGCCATGGATTGTGGATTCATTTCTTCTGGTTCAGGCTGTATAACACACCAAGTGCAGAACACTTGCCTCCTGTGTCCTGCTTGATTGCTTATTTTGGCTGCTACCAGTCTAGAATTATTGAAGGAAGGACTGGGCAAAATACCATTCTTCTGCAGGGTAATTCTTCTTTCCAGAGGACAAAAAGCCTTGTCTTCAGTCCACAGAATTCTGCCCTGCTTAAACACCTTCAGGTTTTGTATCTTATCTTGCACGTTGGCTTATTTAATATGGAGAATGTGGGGAGGGGGGGGGGCAGAAGAAACCCCCCTAAACCCCTCTCAATGAAATATATGTGTAGCAATAGAGAAGTCTTCTAGGAAACCCACTTCTGGGGGTGCACCAGTCTAACCTCTTCATCCTTCTGTTGTCCTGCAGCCGACTTTGGTTTCTGTGCTCAGATCACCCCTGAGCAGAGCAAGCGCAGCACCATGGTGGGAACTCCCTACTGGATGGCTCCAGAGGTGGTCACACGGAAAGCATATGGCCCCAAAGTGGATATCTGGTCTCTGGGCATCATGGCTATTGAGATGGTGGAAGGAGAACCCCCGTACCTCAATGAAAACCCCCTGAGGGTAAGAAGCCCCGGGGTTGGAACTGCTTGTGGGTGTTCACCGTATCAGACATTTTCAGTAATTGGTCATTAATTGTGTCTACAATAAAAGAAATGAAAAAGCCAAGAAGCTTCAGCGGTGCAAGAGAAGTTCTCCAAGGGAAGACACTTGTCTTGAATTTGCAATCATCCCTACCCTGACTCCCCATCCCTGGAAGTGTCCAAGGCCAGGCTGGATGGGGCTTGAACCAACCTGGTCTAGTGGAAGGTGTGCCCATGGCATGAGGGTGGAAACAGATAGTCTTTAATGTCCTTCCAACCCAAACCAGTTCCCTAAACTATCACAGAATCTTGAGGTCAAAATACAGTGTTTCAGTTACAGGCAGGTAAATCCTCTAAATGGAAGATTTTGACCTCAAGATTCTGTGATAGTTTAGGGAAAGTAAATCCATCAGGTTATGAAAAGTGTTGCTCTGTCACAATTTGATATTTTCTTTGCTAAAATAAGTATCTGTTGCCAAAAGATTTTGAATATTATTTTGCTACTAGCAAGAATAAGTCATGACTGCCTATAATTGTGGCATTTTTACAGCTTAAATCTCATAAGTTTGAGAAGTAGGCAGCCGAGCCCTTTCTCAGCTAAGGGCTTGCCACTAGACAGGACATTTTGGCATCTTTTAAAGATTTGTTTTTGTTATACACTATTTTTCATTTTACAGGCTTTATATTTGATAGCAACTAATGGCACACCAGAACTCCAGAACCCTGAGAAACTGTCCCCAATATTCCGGGATTTCTTGAACCGATGTTTGGAGATGGATGTAGAGAAAAGAGGATCAGCCAAAGAATTGCTACAGGTGAGACTCAGCTTCTCCTCACAGTGTGAAGTGCAGAAGCCACGAGTAATGTCAGCCTGTGATAAACCACATGTCAGACTGGCACCCTTTTTGTGTGTGTGTGTTTTCTTCTGAGAACTGTAGTGAGAGCAGTTGGTAGGAACAACAGTCATCAGAGATTTGTAATGCCACTCTAAAGTCGTTCCATCACAGTCTGTGCCTTCACTCTGCCACTGCCAAAGCATCCAGCAGTTTATGAACTCCCTTCAGGAGCTGGCCACTGATAGCATTTGCATTGCTTTTCGTGTCTTCATTTGCAAATATCCTCCTCAGAGCTCTTTAAAAGAACTGTTTATCTGCTAGTCTGAAGTCAGTGTTCAAGCCCTGAAAAGAAAAGCTGCTGTTTTCCCCAGGGTTCTGCCTTACCAGCTGAGCAGCTGGAGCTCAGTGCACCTGCCATTGTGCCACCATTTCTCCTTGTAGTTTGGATTTTAAATGCCTCCTGGAGAAAAGCTGGCTTGTAAAATGAGATCTTCTCGCAGGCTTAAACACCTTCAGGTTTTTTCCTGTGTGAAGGAGTGGTAGAATCACTGATGGCCATTCCTGGGGAGAACAAGGAGTAGCTCTGAGCCTGGAAGCCAGATGATGTGGAGGCTTTCCCAGTAAAGCCAGCTGCTGCTCCTTGTCTTTCTCTGATTATTCCTTGTTCACATCTTTGCTGTTTTGCTCATTGTGAGTGCAGCTTCAGTACTCACCTTTCCCAAAAGTGGTGAGCTATTCCAGGAGAAACCCCATTGGGTGAGGCAGTATGATCCCAGCCAGCTTGGGATCACCTTTTCCCTACAAACGTCAGGAGAAACGCGTGGAAAAGTTAGCAGTTAAAGTGAAGAATCATTCCTGCCCAGCTCCACACAAACATGAATCCTGCTGAAAAGTAACCCTTCGCTGGCCTTTTAAACCGTGTCTTTCACTGATTTCCAGTGTTTCTCTCTTCCTGGCAGCATCCCTTCTTGAAACTGGCCAAACCTCTGTCCAGCTTGACGCCACTGATCTTGGCAGCCAAAGAAGCAATGAAGAGTAACCGCTAACATCCTGCCACAGCCTTCCTCCTTTTTTTGTTTGTTTGTATTTTACAAATCTTTATAATATATGAAATTGTTACACTTCAGTGGGGAGGGAAGGGATTTTGGTGGGGTGGGGGGGAGGGTGGGAAACATCTGCAGAAGGGAAGAAACTCTCATCCAGAAGACACCCAAAATACATTGTGGCGACTCTAGCGATCCCGGTCTGGGGTCCAGAAGGAATTGAGGACTGAATTTTACTGGCCTTTAGTTGTGTTTTATTTTGATTTTTTTTTTTTCCCAGACAGCCCAGAAATGCCACTTACTGTGCCCGGGGCTTTAAGGGTTTTTAACGACTTCGCTGTAACAGCTCCTGTTCGTTGTACCCTCTGGGTACTTTCAATACTTGAATGACAGGTTCAAGCTTTCAGAGAGCAGTACTAATTTTACCTGCTGATCTCTTTGACTCTCCTCTTCCTCCCCTCTACCTGTTGGCTTCTAAATCCCTCTGGTAAAGCTCCCCCATGACGAGATTCACGGCAGGTGTGGCGAATGTGAAGGTACATCTTGCCCCTCATTTCTGTTATGGACAAACTGTTGCTGCACTGTAGAATTGACAACTTGGCTACTTAGGGAGTCGTAATGCATGGAGATGTTTTTCACTTTCTAAGATGAATAAGGAGAGGGGGGGAAGAGGAGTGTTCAGCTTTTTCTTATGCCTGTGCTCTGTGGACTTTTTTTTAATCAAAAACGTGGGCTCTTTGTAGAACCGTAACGATCGGTCAAGTCTTTTGATGTGGGTTATGGATATGTAGGTTGGGGTCAGATACTTTATTTATGATCAAATGATCAGTTCTAGTCAGGGCAAGAAAAAATTCCAGCTGTCTTCCTTGTGTGCTCTTTTTTTCCCCTGTTAGACTTGCTGGCCAGAAGCTTAAGGGTTAACGTGCTTGGTGCGGTGGGTGGTTTAAAAACATGTATCTATGCTCTGACTTGGGCTTTGGAAGTTATGCTGGTGCCTTTGACTTTTTTATTTTACATTTCCCTTTTTTGTATCAAATACATTTTTGTATATGTTGTAATTTTTTCCCCCTAGCAAATAATGCATCAACCTATGGAGTTGTCAGAGTTTAAGTATTAGAGCTATTTTTTCCAGTTTTGTATGTGCTCCATTTGTACTAACGAAACCAGAAGAACAAGTAACCAGATCTGAGGACACTGAAGATACAGGATTTTTAAACTATGATCCAAACAGAAGATGATGAACACCTGGAGATGCCAAAGCACTGTTCTGAGGTGGAAGCTGAGGGGAGGACAGTGCTGAGGGGACGTGTCACGTTGATCCTTCTCACTAAAGACGTTGTGCCAGCCAGGACGGCTGCAGTGAACCCTTCAATGCAAGAAAAAGTGCCTCCTTTTGAAGGACAGTGAGAACCAGAGCGGTTGAGTTCTTGGGGTGCTGCCAGGGGTGAGTGTAGCAGAGCCTGTGCCCCTGGCTCCTTTTAGTGCTACAGTCTATGCATTTCAACCTCCCCGAGTGTTTGAGGAAGAGCCAACTGTAGTAACAATGTGCCAAATAAGTCTGTGAAAGAACAACCATGCCTTTAGTGGGATTTTATTGCATTCCCAGTGGGGCAGGGCCTGGGACAGACAGAGTTATGGTTGGGTATGGACAGAGGACCCTGAATAAAAACCTTTTTGCACACTTTTCCAAACATTGCTGGCAGGGGATAGAAGTCATATTCAGAGAATATCAGTATCTGTATAGAGATAATGACATTTTGAGGACTGGTAGCCAAGGTATGACAAAACCAACTTCCAGCTGAGAGCAGCCAACCAGGACAGTGGAGGCTGTTTGGGTGATGATGGAGGGGAGCAGGGCTGGGGTCTCACAGCATCTGCTGGGACTCAGGAGCTCCTGGAGATTGTGTGGTGCCAGCAGAGTGCCTTGCTGGGCAGGTTCAGCTTGTGTCCTGCTCCTGTGTGGTAGTTAAAATCTATGTTGAGTGAATTATCTTAACTGTTCCATCACAGGGATAAATCCCTCTAGCTGTGAGTGTAAGAATATGGCTTTAAATTTTAAATTCAAGGAGGTGTCTCATTCCAGCCAAGGAAATCCAGATGCATTTCCCAGGGGAAAAAAATTATTGGGAGCCAGGGACACTGTCATCACCCCAGGTTGAGTGTATCTGGCTCCCTGGTCAAATGGAGCAGCGAGGAGGCTTGGCTGAGGAAAAAACATGTTGTACCAATGGTTCCCTCTTTGTCCATTGCTGGCAATGGACTTGGTAAAACTCCTTGTGCCAGAGTTAAACTGGGAGCTTTTCTTTCTTTCCTCTTTTTTTTTTTTTTTTTTTTTTTTAATGGCACAATCTATATAAATTTAGCTTTTTTTTTTTTTTAATAGAAAGAGAACAAGAAATCGTAAGTAATTTTAACTTATTAGTTCACTTTTATTGATGAAAGAGAATGGTTTGAAATATATGTTACAAAAATTCGTTCAATTTAGTCCATTTTGGAGATGATTTCTGAAGTTTCAGCCACCTTAGCACACAAAACTTGGCCCAATCCCGAAGTTCCCAAATCGTGTGTGTGCCCTGGGAAGGTGTTTAGCTCTGAGGCTGAGAAGTGTCAGCATCTCCCTCTCCCCACGCAGCGGTTGGTATGTGGTGAGGTTTCTCTTGGGGATCAGAGGTGGAGCTGGCAGGAGAGGAGAGCCAGGAGAAGGTTTTTGTGCTGTGCTTTAGTGTCTTGGTGGGTCGGGCATCGCTTTTCCAGCAGTGTCACCTGGATGTGTGTGCCAGGTTAAAACTGCAAGCCGTGGTTTTTTCCCTGGTGGGAGTAGGTTGGAGTCCTTAAGGCTTGGTGCAGGGCTGGGCAGCTCTGCTTTGTCACTGGGGCAGGTGGAGACCAGCCAGAGCTTGAGGAGGTGATGGGAAGGGACAGATTGCATCCCAACGTGGGCATTCCCATGCCTCTCTCCTGGGTGCCCACATGAGATCCTGAGTCAGGATCAAATGTGCACATGATCCACCTGAAGTGTCCTGTGTGGTCAGTGGGGCAGCTTTTGGCTGAGATGCAGTGTGCAGGGAATGTGAGACTCCTGAGACTTTCCTGTGATCATAGAATAAACCAGATTTCTCTTTAAATAAACAACCATGGGAATGTGCACTTTGCCCTAATGAGACTGATTGGAGCTTCCCCCCGGCTCTCCGTGCAGGGAGGTGCGAGGGTTTGGCTAAAGCAGGTGGGTCCTGTTGTCAGAGGGGCTGGGGAGGGACAAGGAAGCGGTTAAGGGTCTCTCCAGCTGGAATTGAGTCAATAAATCTCTCTGGTCTGTTTTTCCCTCTGTTCCTTACGCTGTCGATGGAAATGGAAGTAGGTGCAAGCTTTCTTTTTATTTTTTTAACTGTCTTCAGATGTTAATGTTGCCTTTTGTGTAATTTAATCCCATTATGTTATTTAATTGTTACTGCAATATTAACTACTGTATTTGTTGACTTTGTTTAATAACTGTTCTTTCAGGGCTAGAAATAAACTTTTAAAAAACATTTGGGGGTTTCCCCCCCCTTTCCCTGTCATGAATTTGTACCTTCAAAGACAAGAGTGGCTGAAAGAGTTCATGTGTCGGTGTCTTACTGAGATTAACAGAATGTATTTGTAATTAGGCTTTAATGGTAGTGGATATAATTTCATGCTATACCAGCCTATTTCTTTTAAAATGTTGTTACTCATCAGTGTCTGTACCTGCCTTGGGGTCACCACAAGCTCTCCTTCCTGCCATGCAGTGCTAGGGAACGGCTGTGCCCCCCGCAAAAAGCTCTGGATTACTTATGGGAGGAGAGCAGCTCTGGAACACCCTTTACACCCACTGTGGAAGAGAGAATCCCTCATTTCCTTGTGAAGGGAGCAAGGCAGAGGCCAGCCTGGTTTTCACAGCCACATTTCCCACCGTCCGTTTGCCATGAGCAGGGTGGGACTGACGGGCCAGTGAACTGCGGTCGTGGCAATTCCGTAGCTGTTCCGAACGAGCCGCTTTGTTGGAGATCATCCATATCCTGCATGTAAACATTACAGCATGGGAGGCACAGGCACTGAGCTGTCCTGGTGCCTGCTGGGGAGATGTGGCTCCTGGATTTGCGCTGTCTCCGCTGATCAGCGTTTGACCATCAGAAGGAGGACGTGGAGTGTCCACAGCTCTCTGAGGACTTGGGATGACATCCTTGGTGCCTCTTGGCCTCCATGGCTGCAGGGAGTCACTCTTGCTTTCCAGTGAACCTACAAAAATGGTGTGGGGTCTAGGCCTGCCAGTCCAGCTAAAGCCAAGGACATCTAATGATTTACTTCAGGGCTGAGTCCGGTTTGTTTGATTCCAGATGAAGTTTCCTGTCTCAGTTGTGAATGTCAAGGACTCGCCGTGTCCTGTGTTTCCCATGTGTTATTGGGAAATGGGCTCTTCCCCTTTCTTGCATGTTGTACAAGCTTTGCTCATACCACTGACAAAGGGAAATGAAGAAACCACTTGTCTCCAGCAGCTGTTTCACCCAGACAAGAATGTTGGTTTGCACAGTTGTTCTCCTCAGGTTCATCAGTTTTTGTAGCTTCTTTGTCTTTATATATAGTTGACCCTTTATGCATTTAAACTGATGTTTCTCTAACACTGCATTAAAGTGATTTGGCATTTAATTTATGGGGGAAGAAGTGAACAGGAGGAGGGAGAAGGTGCTTGGTGGAACTCAGTATTATCTGTATTTTGGTGTTTGAGCTGCTTGAAGAGATGGGTTTGGGCTGATGGTGGTTTGCACAGCTCAAAGTTGCATGTCCCTGATAAATCTTCATCAGTCTTGTGTGAACTTGGTCATCCCTTACAAGTACCTGCCTGAGACTAAACTCAAGAGCAGCTCCATGTTTGGGGATCAGTTTATTCAAGGTTGAGTATTTAAAACAATGTTCTTGAAGAGAGTCAGTTTGGGGTCAGCAGTTTCTCCCTTTCAGGGCTGCTGTTTGGTTGCAGTGAGTGTACTGCAGAGCTGAGCCACACACTGTTTAAAAACAGGATGGCTGAAAACTGTGGATCTTCCTTTCATTGGCATTTTCCCAGTGGTGGCTGCAGTGCAGTTCCTGTGGCTCCTGTGCTGCAGCACAGCAGTGTCTGCAGTTGCTGCTCCCAGGGGTTTGTACAGCTGCATTTTTTCCTTTTTCTGTAACTTGCATTTTGCTCTCAAGATTGTCTTTAATAAAAATAGCCGTCCTCAGTCATGTGAGAAAGTGAAGTGAAAGTGTGCTGAGCTCAGCTGAACTCTTGGTGTTCCTTTCCAGATGTGTGGAGGAGGCAGGTTTTACCAAGAGATTCTTTCGCTACTTGGAATTCAGCCTAAGGAAAGACTTCTTTTCCTCAAAGAAAAAAGGGGAGGGAGGGGAAAATACCAACAACTGAGAACAATGAATTTCTGATTGTAACTTCTCTACCTACAAGGGAGCAGGGTGGGGCAATACAGCTCCTCATGCTGTTGTTCCCATATCCCAGTGGTGATGCTGCTTTTTCCGACTGGTGTCTGCAGGAGGAATATCTTGCAGCACATCATAACTTAGATTCACAGACTTGTTAAGGTTGGAAATGGCCTTTAAGATCATCAAGTCCAACAGCCAACCTTGATTTCAAATCCCAGTTACCCATTGACCCGAGTACTGAAACAGCCTGTAAGGACTCATGACTTTTTTTTTTTTTTTTCATAGTTATTTTTTAATGGGATTTTCCCACTGGGAAGTTACTGGTTGCTCATTCTCTTTAGGACATAACAGGCCACCAGACTTCTGCTTTGGAGATGTGTTGAGTCAGTGGAGAGAAGGATGGGCCTGGAAGAGCAGACAGTCTGTTCCAAGACCTGGATATGTCTCCGTTCATGGATGTCTCAATGCACTCATACACTCCAGGTTCTGGTGTTTCCTGAAGGGCTGGTGAATAATGAATCCAGCTTGGAGTAACTGTGGATCAATGGCAAAGATATTGATGTGACTCAGGGAATCTCCACAGGATGCTCTGGAAGGGGAGCATCTGCCCACACTGGGTAAGGGGTGACCTTCCTCAGCACAGATGTCTCCCTGGAATTCCTCGAGGTTTCTAGAGCCAGAGATGACACATCTTTGTTATTTTGTCCTCCAGTGAATGCTTATTCTAAGGACTCTGGCCTTTTTCACGAAGCACAATTAACTCCTGGCTCTCCTGGAGCCCTTTTCCCTGCCTCTCTCTGGGAGGAAACCTGCTGTGGTTCCTGCTGCCTCGTCACAGCAGCTGAGAGCAGGTGGCTGCTCTTGGAGGGCTCTTATCCACCCCCTGCCCACCGAAACTCACCTAAAATAACCTTATAACTGGGGGGGGTTTGTAGCTGTTACCTCTTGGTGGGGAGAGCCAAGGTGGCTCTGTTCAGTTCCTGTATTTTTGGAGAATGTTTATTCTTCTTAATTGTGGAAGTGCCAACTTGGTTCCCTATCCCATGGCTAAAATCCCCTATTTAAATATCTGCATTTTAAACTGTTTTTGTTCTTGACAGCCTTGGAAGCGAGTTGGGTTTAGAAAAGACACTGATGTTCCACCCTCAGAGAAGTTTATTTTGGTGGGAGTATCTGAATTTTTACAGTCTTGTTTCTAGAAGAGCAGCCCAGCAAAGCTGTGTGGATTTTGCTGTCAGCACTAACACGAGCAAGGGAATAAGCCCCTGGCGTTATTTAATCCCACAGTTATCCTTGGAATCAGCAGCTTCCAGCTCCCCTCTCCAGCCTGGGTTAAGTGTCCCACAATTGCAGGATGTGCTGTGGGCATAATTGCAGATAGTGGATGGCAAATAGTTTTTAAACACCTCAGAACATTTATTTCCTAAGGCCCAACTCTTAAAACACTTGAAAAGAATGGAAAAATCAGCTCCTGGGGGAAGGAAAAGATGTTGGAATTTTTTTCCTGGTTTTACTGTGGGTATCACAATCTGTTTCCCGTGAGCTGGCAGTTCTCTTCCAGGGTCTTGATTTGGGCTGGTGTTGCTGGGTCCTTGTAGAGTTTTGTTTCTAAAGAGAAAACTCTGCAGGTTTCTCTACTTCTGAGAAACAGAAGTTACAGGAGATGGAAAGAAATGAGCTGGATTGTGATGTTACAATTTTTTGTTATTGGTTCTGCAGGGATGAGCAGCTTTGGCCAGCACTTTTAGCACTGTCAGAGGTCAATTTTCATGACAAAATTATTATTTTATGAGTCTCTTAAAGCGTGTTTTATCATCTGTTATTCGAGCAAAGCCGTTTGTTCATTTGAGGTGAAAGATGCAACACTTGGCCTGTCACCTGGAGGGAGAACTGGGTTAAAAATGGTCACACTGGGATAAGTTTGAGGCTGGCTGATCAAAAGCAGGGCAGTTTTCAGGGGGGAGGAGGGGAGACCTTGGGTGATGGGCTTTTGGCAGCGTGGTCCCTCTCCTTGCTCAGACTTCCCATGGTTTCCAAAGCAAGGGCTGTGACCAATGATCCGAGGGGACCTTCCCTAAACCACTGTGGGGTGGGCACTTGGGGATAGAAACGAGGGGGAGGGAAGATGAGGAGAGGGAGAGTGTTGCAGGGGGAGATGCTGAGCTGAGACTGTCACCAACATCCCCAAAATGCCCTCCCAAAAGGTCCTGTTTCTTTTTCAGTGTGCCAAGGGCTATCTGAGGAGAGGCCAAGCGGCTCCAATGCCTTCGGAGCGTCCGCTCCTGTTTTTCATGGCTTGATCTGTGTCACTGTAGCCAGTTTGAACTGTATGAGGTGCCTCAAGTGTGCTTCAAACCTGTGTTTCCTGGCAATTCCTTTTATAAATAACATGGGGGTTGGGAATAAAATGGCATTAATGGAAACTGTTGGCTCTTTGTGTGTGGCAGGGAGCCGAGAGGAGTTTGGGACACCCACCATCACCCCTGCCCTGGGGATGAAGGAGATGCTGTTCTGCCTGTAGGGATGGAAAATGTGGGATCAGGGTGTTCTTATTGCTGCTGCAGAGCAGGGAAGTGACCCAGGAGACACATTAATTGTTTGTCATAGAATCATAGAATGGTTTGGGTTGGGAGGGACCTTAATTCTCATCTCATTCCACCCCCTGCCAAGGGCAGGGGCACCTTCCTCTAGCCCAGGTTGCTCCAAGCCCCCTCCAGCGTGACCTTCCAGGAATGGGGCAGCTGCAGCTTCTCTGGGCAACCTGTGCCGGGGCCTCCCCACCCTCACAGGGAAGAATTGTTTGGGTTTAGCCCAAATGAGATCAGATGTTTCAATGGGCTTACAAAGTCAGGTAATGATGATGCCATGGGAGGGTTTTGGTGGAGCTGGGAAAGATCCCATCCCCAATATTTGTGTTACCAGCAGGAGCAGCTGAAATGTTGCTGTCACAAAAATGCCACCTGCAGACCAATGGCACGTGTAATTAGTGCCACCTTCACCAAACCGGGTATTAAGACAAGGGTGGGGAGCAGTGAGCAAGCCAGGTTTCCAAATTGGCTGAAGATGGACCTTGCTGTGGCTGAGTGACTATTCTCTGGAAAAAATGGGAACCCTTGGATAGGTTGCTGGGTCCCCTCATGTCTCAAACTTTGGGAATGGGGTGGTAGGTTGTGTTTTATCATAGAACCCCAGAATGGTTCGGGTTGGAAGGGACCTTAAAGCTCATCTCATTCAACCCCCTGCCATGGGCAGGGACACCTCCCACTAGCCCAGGATGCTCCAAGCCCCATCCAGCCTGGCCTTGGAAACTTCCAGGGATGGGGCAGCCACAGGGATTGGAGCCAAGCAGAAAACAAATGAAGATTTTTGCTCCTTTTGGGAGACCTGGCAGCTCTGGGGAGCTGCTGGGGGCTCTCAAGTGTGAATGCTGTGCTTGGGGTCCCAGCGGGAATAAAACCGGCACCTCCTTCCTGGGACAAACACCGTGTTGGCTGCTCCAGCTGCTGTGATTCCATCAGCTCCTGGAGGCAGCTGGCATTGCCCTGCAGAGGCCACACATGTGGCATTTCCCAGGCCTGTCAGGCTGTGCCACGTTTGCTTACACGGAGCTTTATAAAGAGGAGCTGCGGGAGCTTCCTCTGCTCCTTCCCAGGGTTTGGTCCGGACTCTCCCCCAGCACAGCCCTCACTATGGGCACCCTCAATGTCTCCATTGCTTTTTTTTTCCTGGTTGTTGGGATGTGCCAGGTGCTCAGGTGGCTTTCCAAGAGGCTCCTGTCTCCCAGAGCGTATGGCTGCCTTGCCAGAGAACTTGCTGGCTCGTTACAGTTGTGCATGAGCTGCCTGGAGCTGAGGATGCTGATGGAGATCGGCCCATGGGGGGGTGGCTTTGGCCTGGACATGGTCTTGACTCTGCTCTTCCTTCTCTTCGCTGTTCATGGCGCCTCTTTTGATGGAGCATCTGCCAACCCAACTGTCTCTGTCCAGGAGTTCCTGCTGCTCGAGTCCAGTCTCGCAGCCACAGCTGCCAAGCTGCTGGCCCAGGGCGTGGGCACGGGGACAGGCTGGGCTGTCACCAAGCTCTTCTGGTCCTGGGAGCTGACACAGTTCCACTTCATCCAGAGCCTGATCTCATCGGAGTGCAGCTCCTCCATCCACACCTCCCTGCCCCACGCTGCCCTCGTGGAAGGCACCTGCTCTTTCCTGTTCCACCTCGTCCTCCTCAAGTCACGTCAGAGTCACCCCCTCTGCCGGGTCCCTGCGCTGGCAGCGACCGTCACCTTCCTGACCTACACAGGTGAGCAGCACTCCTGAGTCATTTGGAAAAACACCTAACTTGTGGGGGAGGGACAGCCCCTTTTTCATCTTCTAGGACCAGAGAGGTAACGATTAACAAGGTAACAACTGCCAAGATGTTTGTGTTCTACTTATTTTGGGGAACAATCACTTTGGGATGAAGGCGGCAGCTTAGGATATTTGGGCAGCAGGTGAATGTTGGCACTTGAGAAGCCAGTTGGCCCAGGACTGGGATCACTGCCCTTCAGTGTCCCCTAATGCAACCCCTCAGCCCCAAACTGAGCTTTTCTGCTTCCTGCAAAGCTCAGGATGACGAGGATGGGATTTTCCCCACCCGAGGGATGCAGGTGCTGGAGCTGGGCAGCAGCAGGGATGCTCTGGGCAGGCAGGAGTGGTCACGGTCTGTGGGCCCAGCTCTTTGTCAGTGTCCCAAAGGATGCAGGTGAGACCCTTGGCCATGTTTCTCTCCCACACAGCCGGATCATTCACAGGGGCCTTCTTCAACCCTGCCCTGGCCACAGCCACCACCTTCCACTGCACAGGGAACAGCTTCTGGGACTACATCCAGGTTTACTGGCTGGGGCCCCTCGCAGGTGAGATCTTCCCAGGGGCAGGGGCTGGGATGGGGGGCAGTGGGCAAGGCAGAAATGCTGGGTGTAACACAAATCAGTCCTGCAAGGGGCTGAACTTGGGTCTTGGCAGTGGCAAGTGTTATTTTTCCTCCAGCTTCCTTGTCTCTGGAGTCATCTCTTTGCTATCCAGGTTTTTAATCTAATTTCTGCACAGGATGTGGGCAAAACTCTCCCTGAGGCCTGAGTTTGGGGGAGATAAAGCAAAGGTGTTTTAGAGCAATGACAGGCTGAGCTGTGGTTTGGGGTTGTCCACAGCTTCAGGATAATCACAGGGGTCTGGATATGGGCTGCCTTGAATGCAGAAAGTGGGGACAACTCCCTGACAGGAGGGTGAAGAAGGGTGGGGGTTGGTCTCTTCTCCCAGGTAACAAGGGTCAGGACAAGAGGAAACGGCCTCAAATTGTGCCAGAGGAGGTTTAGGTTGGGTATCGGGGAAAATTTCTTCCTGAAAGTGTAGTCAGGCACTGGCACAGCTGCCCAGGGCAGTGGTGGAGTCACCATCTCTTGAGGGATTTAAAAGCCATGTGGATGGGGCACTTGGGGATATGGGTTAGTGGGGGGGGAATAGTTGGATTCAGTGGTTTTGGAGGGCTTTGCCAACCTGAATGATTCTGTGGCAAAAGACTGCTGGGGTGGTTTGCGGCCCTTGTGGGTCAAAACAAGCTTATTACATTAAGGAAACACTGGTTAAATTCTTCTTAAAGCCATACAGAGGAGATCTGTCAGCTCTCAGTGAGGGCTTCAGTGGTGCTGAGCTGCCTTTTGGTCACGGTGAAGGTCGTGGGTTTGGAAATCGTGGCTGAGCCGTGGGGAGGGTGGAGGTGCTCAGTGCAGGACACGGAAGGGTCTGTGCTCTCATTCCAGGGATGTTTGCTGCCCTCCTGCTGTACCAGGGCAACATCCCACGGCTCTTCCAGAAAAACCTCCTCTACAGCCAGAAGAGCAAATACAAGATACCCAAGGTGAAGGTGACAGTGCACGAGGAGGGTGATGAACCGAAGAGGAAGAGGAAGGGGGGGAAGAGCAACACCGAGCCTCGTGCCTGAGCCATGGGGCAGAGGGGTCCTGGCAGTCCCTCTCCTGGGATAGGGTTTCCAGGCATGGAAGATTTTGCTGCTCATCCTGCATGTTCAGTCCCTACCACCGGGTGAGACTGTTCTAAAGCATCGCAAAGGAATCCTTGCAGGATGTCCAAGTCCCTGAGCTCCTTTGGGAATAGCTTTGAGAGACTCCCTGGAGAGCCCGAAATGTTCCAAGCCTTCGTTGTTAGCTCGGTGAGAAAAAAACTAACACTTTTGCATAAATTGCTAATTGTATTGCCAGGAAGCTCCCAGAAAGACTATTACATGGGCAGGCTTGAGCAACCCTGGGTTATTGCATTGTGCAACGCCTGAAATAACCTCACTGGGTCTCTTGCAGCCATAAAACCAAAGTATAAACTAGTAACTGCCTTGGAAACTTAGGATGGGCAGTAAGCAGGCTTTGATCTTTCGAGTTATTAATGAACTTTGGTCAAAGTGGTGGGGTTTGAGTCAGACTTGAACTGAGGATGTTGAGTTGCACAGGCTGAACCTGGCAGGTCTTGGAGAGGAATTAAAAATGCTCCAAGGCGAGTTCACTGGCCACGGGAGACCCTGCTCCTCTGGGGGTGTGCTTGGCCAGGGTTTTGGTGCTGTAAAACATCAAGAAATGGTGCACAAAGGGTCTGTGGTGAGGAAAAAAAAAAGACCCAGGCAGCCAGTGTGGTTGAGCAAGTGCATCCCTGGGCTCCGTTTCTTGTCTGTGTGAAATATTCCTAAAGATAAAATTGTGGTTTGTGGAATAATAATAATAATAATAAAAAATGTTGTGGTTGGCATTTGAGTCAGTGATGCTGTTCCTGTGAGCTCTGCTGAGGGATATCAGCCCATCTGATCCCTGAAAATGGGAAACACCTGCTGGGTGAACGGGGCTGCCCCCAGGCTGTGCTGGCCCTACGGCCCTCCATGGATGCTGCATCCCAGGGCTCTCTCCACAGGGAAGAGCACAGGGGGGACACGATGCTCCGGCTGTGCCAGTGTTCCTGCCCTGGGTCAGCTTGGCAGGAGCTTGAGCAGGGACACTCTCCTCCTATTTCCTGAGGTGCAAACAGGGAATAAGGAAGGGGCACCCAACTGAAATCCAGAGTGAGGGTGTCAGATGCAGGTTTGGTACCTGGCACCCAGCCCTGCTCTTTCCTCTGTGTCCCATGAAGGGTTTTGGGGATGATCCCAGGGTGTTGTGCTGCCCCTGGGCTGTCCATCCCTATTGTTTTTCTCTGGGGTGACCTGCAGGCCCCTCAGGAACCGTAAGAGGATCCAGACCTCTGCAAGCCATGAGCCCACACCACATCCCAACAGGAGAAATGAGGGAAGGAACCAACACAGCGATGTGTGGATGTGCCCCAGAGATTAAACTTTATGGAACGAACAACACCCCAAAAACCATGCAGCAAACACCCCCAAAATGCTGCCCCCACATCGTGCCCGGCCCGATGCTTGGCACTGCCCTGGAAAAGGCACTGGGAGCACAGTCTGGCTTTTATCCTGGTTAAACAGAGCAGGAAACAGGACACCTTTGGGTGTAAACCTAAACCTTTGAGGCTCGACGTGCCTGCCCCAGGGAGAGCCTGGGATGCTCAGATCCCCCCCGCACAATTTTTCCAGAACCTCTTTTGGTTTGGCAATCAGCTGAAAACCCAGAGGTGGGGCCTCCATTTATCCCAGCTGATTTGCTGGCTCTGCTTTTGATTTGTGGATAAGTGCAGGGTGCGAAAAGTAAGGCTGACTCGCCCACCACAACCCGTTCTTGTGGTCCCTTTCCCCAAGCAGAGTGTAGGATGTTCCAGTGGCCGCTCCAGGTGGTGGATTGAGATGTCTGGCTGCAGAGATGCTCACGAGGCATCCCCCAGTCCCATGGGTATGGAACTTGCAGTATGACACCCTGGTGCCAGATCATCAGCTCCAGGGTAGGATGCTGATCCTATAAATGCAGCATCTGAAGGCAACACATCACCACAGAGCCAGGGAAAAAAATTGCTGGATTTTTCCTTTTTTTTTTTTTTTTTTTTTTTTTTTTTTTGCTTTTAAAGACATTTTCAGATATTTGGGATCTGTTTCATGGGCTGCTGGGGAGAGTGTCTACCAGGCAGATTGTCTACTGGGGCAAATTGATGTAATTAAGGGGAATTTAAGGAGTGGCAGTGGATATTGTTATTTTTAATTAAGAGGCTGCTTTTCCAGCACGGTAGCATTAAGGTGGAGCGGAGGAGAGCTGCAGCTGGACAGACAGACAGACTCATTCCCAAGCTGTAAATCAAACTCCACGGCTCTGATTTACAGCTTGGCCCTGCACTGTTGCAGTCTCTGGCGTGGGGACTGGGGCTGCCTTCCTGGATCTGCTCCCTGCTGCCGAGGCTTCAGCTGCTGACTGAGGGGGGAGGGTTCCCTCTGGAAAAGTCATGTCGAGCCCCTGGGATCCCCCATTGCAGCCCGTCCTGCTCCACAGCAGTGTGTAGCACCCAGAGCTTGTGCACAGTCTTGCACAGACAGAGGTGACTGGGGGCTGCCAGCAGCTCCCAGCCCACCCCCTCTCCAGGGCAGGAGCAGCCCCCAAGCCCAGGATCTGAGTGCCTCACTGCCCTCAGCCAAGGCGGCTGGAGAAGATGCCTGGAGGGGGCAGGGAGGGTCAGTGTTGGGTGCCCTCCAGCCGGTGCTGTGGGGCACTGCCTTGCCCAGAGGGAGTGGGCTGGGGGGTCTCGGGGGGCTCTGGGGGGAACTGTTTCTTGTAGAGAGCGCTGCTGTACTGCAGCTCCGGGGTCACCAGGCGCCGGCACATGTGCTCCGTCTCCTTATCCAAGCCCTGCTTGAGGTTATAGCCCAGGATCCTGGCACCGCCGTGCTGCAGTGGCCGCAGGGAAGAGTCCTTGATGTCCTTCGGGGCCACGCTGCCCGTGCCCTGCAGGCAGGTCCTTGCCAGCTCCGCCTGCCGCTCCCGGAGCGCCTTCACTTCCTGCTCCATGCGCTCCCGGCCGATGTCCCGGTCGATCCTTTCCCAGAAGGTCCTGTTGAAGTGGGTGTAGATTTCCCAGTCCAGCCTGTTCCACTCCTTTATCTTCTCCACGATGCTGTCCGAGAGGGAGGACTTGGTGCTGCTGTCCCTGGTGTTGAGTGGGAAGGAGACGACGCTGTCCAGGTCCCAGCACAGCATCTCCTTCAGGAGCACCATGGACTCGTCGAAGTACTCGGAGATGAGGACAAAGTCGAAGGACGCCTCGATGGCCTTTACCATGAGTTGCACCCGCTCAGCAGACACCTCTGCATTGGGGTTGAAGCCAAAATCAAAGGTCATGAGGTTCTTGGCGTAGTTGCTGTCGCCCTTGGCGGGGTCGTAGTAGAGGTGTGGCTGGCTCAGGAACTCCTCCAGGCTGCGCACGCGGGAGAAAGCCGACGCGCCCTTGTAGTACGTGAAGGAGGACTCCATGAGCTGCACGGGGTTCCTCAGGATGGAGAAGTAGGTGGCAGAGCTGGGCACCACTTTCCGCACCTGTGGAGGAGAAAAAGGAGAGTTTAAAGGTGGGGTAGGGACAAGGGACCTGCTTGCCCACAATCCTGGCAAGCAGAGGTGCTCACTGGGGTGGGAGATAGTGGGTGCTGGGGAGGGTTTCAAGGTGCAGCTCATCCAAGGAGCTGTGGAGAGCCCCAGAAGAGGCACATGAGGAGAGCAGTGACAAAACCTCCCCAGCATGTGCTGCCACACCTGTGTGGGCTTTCTGGGATGGAGATACATCCTGTCTCCTTGCCTTTCCCAAGACCTGTGTATCATCAAGTGGCATCCAGAGGGGTGGATGCTGGGCATGGCTGACCTGAACTGAGGCACTTTAGATGTTCTCCTCTGGTGGTTCCCTGATGGCCTGTCCAGAGAACAGGATGTCTCCAAGGGCCCACCAGACAAGAGGGAGATGATAGCTGCTGACAGCTACAGGTGCTGTCTCCCATCTTGTCATGGGTCAAAGCAGAGTGATTCATCAAACCTGCTCCCAGAAGCTCTCAGGAGATGCCAACAACGTGAAAGGTACCCGTGGGCAATCCTGGCTGCCTGTGATTCATCCCTGAAGAGTTTACGTGCTTTACAGGTGCCCCACCTTGCACCCCATGAGCCCCTGTCTCCCTTCCCTGCTCGCCCTTCCCAGTGGTCGTGGCTTTGCCTGTACCTCCGGCTGCAGGAATCGCATGTGGTGGCAGAGGATGTTGAACCGCTGGGGGCTCTTGGGGGAGAAGCCCTGCACGAACCTCGCCATGAAGTGGCGGGGGTAGAAGAGCTGGAAGGCCCCGCCAAGGGGGAAGGCGAAGGTGAGGTTGTGGGTCTCGCCAAAGCGGAAGAGGACGTTCATCACGGTGCTGCTGGCACTCTTGTGCACCTTGAGGAAAACAATGTCAGTCTGGGGCTCACACGTCTTCCCTTGAGGGGCGACTCCTCTGGCCTGCCGACCTCCTCCATTTGTCACCTCCTCGACCATAGAGGCTGCTGTCCAGTTTGGGAAAAATCCTGTCTCTGGGCGTGTTTCGTAAGAGTCCTCTGCCTGCAGGGGTTGAGCTGAGTTTGGGACGGGATCTGTCAGTGAACTGCTCCTCTGATGGCTGGGGGAAGCCACGGCTTGAGGCTGAGACTGGTTCTGTACCTCCACCTGTGTCATTCTGGCTGGTGACGTTTGCCCGTTCTCCTTAGTGCTCAGTCTGTTTGCAAAGACAATGAACTTCGTGGTGACAGCTTCTGCCAAAACTGTTGCAATCCTGCCAGGAAGGCTTGGAGAAGGACTTTCTCTGTCTGCTTTTCTCAGGACAGGGAGCTGGGGTTTCAGCCTCGTGGGCAATAGATGAGCTTCCACCTTCTTACTGCTCTCCACAGGCTGCCATGTCCCATGCTCCTCTTGGCTGCCTGGGCTGCTTTCCAGAGAGGTCTCCCAGCTGACATGCAGGTCCTCAGTCGAAGTGGGGTCTGGCACAGCTTTCCTTTGCCACTGCAGGGAACTGTCCTCCCAGAGCAGGTCAGGTGTCTGGAGGCCAGAGTTGAGCCCCTGGCCCGTGCTCTGCTGCAGGTCACGCTCCACCTCACACTGGCAGTTCCTGTAATGGGGAGGACACGATGCTCAGCTGCAGAGAGCGGAAGGAATGTGCAGAGGGCAACTCCTCTGCAGCCCAGTGAGCCCCCCTGAGCCCTCCCACAGACACCACCAAGTGTGTTTCCCCATCTTTCTTGGGGTAGGTGGCACTGCTGGTAGGTGTAGGGCTTCACTGCTGCCCTGGGGAGTCAGGATGGGTGCAAGAAGTTGGGCTTGATGGGCTTGATGGGCTTGATGGGCTTGGGTTTTCCAACCTTTAAGGATTCTATGATTCTATGAAGAAGAGAAGGACAGGTGAGCAGCCTGTGTCAATGCCTTTGTCTCGCTGGAGCATGATGGAAGGGGCAAAGCAAGAGGAGGCAAAGTCAGAGAAGAGCAAGTTGCCTAGAGAAGCTGGAGGAACTATTGCAGGTAACCCCAGACTGGGACAACTGGGCTCAAGATCTGTAGGGTGTTATGGTGAGCCAGGACAAAGCCCAGAGCAACCTGGCCTGACCCCAGAGCGGGCTCAGCTCTGACCAGGGCATAGGGGTGGGATGTGGGAGCCTCAGAGAGTCCTCTCCCACTGGGATTTTCCTCCCTGTCTAAGGAAGACCCTGTTGGGTGGTTTTCAGAAGAGTGGTTTTGAGCCCACCTCAGTGGTCAGCAAAAGGCTGGAGCATAAGGTGCAGTTCTGTAATCCTGCTTTGGACCTACCTGGAAGGCTGCAGCTTCTCCATGACTTGAAGGGCGACCAGGAGGAGGATGAGGAGGCTGAAGGAGATCCAGAGCCGACCTGGCTGGACCCTGTAGACTGCATTCAGCTTCCTGCAAGGAAACCGATATTTCAGACAATTCATGGTGAAAAGAAACATGTGAGGCAAAGGTGCCTTGAGGCTCGTTTTATTTCTTTATCTTTCTTTCAGGTGCGGGCGGAAATGATGCGGAGGCAGTGATAACCGAGGAACCTCCAGGCTGTGCCAAGTGCTGGAGCCCAGTGGAAATTTCTAGATGGGCCACAGATATTCCTCTGAAAAGTAAACAGTGGTAACTGCCAACTCCCTTGGCTGCTCAGGGACACCTTCCTGGAGCAGCCCGGGTTCCCACCTTGGCACCAGGAACAGGCGCTCCCTGCGTATTCCCTGCCCTGCCTGGTCTAGAAGTATCAGGGCTCCATCTTTATCAACCTGGACAATAAAGTCTTTTTTTGCCCTGCTCTCCCTGCTCTCAGTGCCTGCTGTTAGAGGCTCCAGCAGTGGCTGAAGATGTGATGCCACCATGGGGGCCCCAGCGATGCCCCTCCAGTGTGTGGCCTGGATTTTTGTCTGGTTTTAGCTGAGTCTGCAATGGCAGTGTGATTTCTACAGGTCATCAGTGCTGCGCTGTGGGGGATTGGGTTGTTTGTGGTGCCATCCAGGCCACAGAAAACACTGCCACGGGGCTTCTACTGCTTGTAGGACTTGCTGCAACATCCTGGTGGGGTTTAGTTGTAGTCCCGTGGCTCATTGCCTGGCCGTGCCGGCAGCATGAGGAGAGCCTCGTGCTGTCAGAGGTGAAGGGGCACGACAAGCAAAGGAGCAGAAAAGTGCCAAATGCTTTAACAGCACATAAAATGCCAAGGGATGTTAAAGGGAGAGGGGGAAGCAGAGACTCGAGGCTGCCCCAGAGCTGGTGTGAGGAAAGGCTTGTTGAAGTAACTCTGTGTGAAAGGTCAGACACCAAAGAGGGAGAAGGCAGTGAGGGAGGAGCTGCTCCAGGATGATTCTGCTTGACAGATCTGGTTGGCAACTCAATCCAGCTCTCCAAACACTCAAGGTAAGCCTACCACAAGCACCAAGAAAGGAATGAAGAGGTGAATAACTGTGATATTTAGTGATACATCCATACTCTCTCTTGGGGGGAATCTGCATGAGCACCCAGTAACAAAAGCAGAATGATGCAAATCTTCTCCTCGAGTATTTGGTGCAGATATAATTCTTGACTTGCCTCCACAAAGGTCCTAAACTCTCGATCTGTAGAGAACCTGGGAAAGATCCAGGTCCTTTTGCTCTTTTGAGATGGTCATTGTGTTGGTTGAACACCCAGTTGAGAACACATAACATGTGGCTGGCTGCTTGGGTCTGGTCAGGACAGCAGAAAAACAGAGCCCTTCCACCCTTCCTCCAGGCTGGCTCTGGTGGGACACGCAGGCATCAAGGAGGGTGTGCTGAGCAAGTGGCAGCACTGAAGTTTGTGCTGAAGATACCAAGAAGTTGCAATGAAGGCAGCAAAATTGGGGTTAAATGGCACATGTGGCACGAACAGCCGTTGTCTTGGAGGCTGGAGCAGCTGGATGAGTTGTAGCTGGCTTCTGTGGGTAACCCCTGCACAGCCTTCTCTCCATTTAACACACCAGGATGGGATCAGGGTCATGAGTGCCTTGGGGCAGAGTTAAATACTTGAGACCAAAGCACCAGAAGATGTCCAAGGTGCACTCGGAGCTGCTGGGAGCCGGCACTGCCCTGCAGGGTGGGTTGGGCTGTGAGAGCCCAGCTCCTGCAGAGACTCTGAAGATGCCTCCCTCTGCAGACAGGCTGTAGCTGAAGAACCCCCTCAGATCAGACCCTGTGTGCTGTCACCTCCAAAAGTGACAAACCAGGGTGCAGACATGTATGCAGCACCCTAGGGATGCCTTTGGCTGTGAGGGGTCACAGTGGCAGAGTCACAGCAGCTGAATCCTCCTGTGCTGGCTCAAAAGATTCAATCCAAACCCAGTGTGCTGGTGGTTTATTTGCAAGGGATGATGTCCCCAGGAGTGTCTCAGTGCCGTGTCCCAGTAGGGCAGGGGGTGCCTGGGGTGCTGCTTGGCAGCAGGTGCTGCTGGCTCACAGCAGTACTGCAGATTTCCCTGCCATTATTTTCCCTCTGCTTGAAGCAGTGGAGGATGTGCTTCTGCCTGACCTGTGCCCTGTCCCAATCCAACACAGAAATCCCTGCAGGGGATGGGTCCATGGTCAGGTGGATGCCAAGCCCTGCAGGGTCCTGCTGTGGGAGGTGCTGGGGTGGAGTTCGCCAGGCAGATAAGTGGCAGAAAAAGACTTTATTGTTTTGCTGTGCCCAGGTGTGCTCCAGGAAGCAGCAATTTTGCATGAGGAATTAATGTACACCATCTGTACACCAGCCACAGCCTACTTCTTCTGACCAGTAATTCCAGACTTTTTTTTTTTGCTATAAATAAGAAAATGGGCAAAATGATCAGCGGGACACTCAGGAGAAGGCAACGAGGGCACAACAGCACTGCCTGCCTGTGTTAGTGCCCACCCTACCCTTGACACAGCTGGGCTGGGAATGACCCTGAGCCCCCTTGCACCTCAGCCCCAAAACGCTCTCCCCCAGCCAAACAACTTTGCTGTGAAGTCAACCCTTGCCCTTCCCTGATCCTTGTCCATCCTCTCCAAACCGGAGGCTGTGGAAGAGGCACCTCACTGGGCTGGCCATGTGAAAGACTTGCACAGAGCCAGGGTTCTGCTCCACATCTACTCTGCTGGTGATCCCCTTGCCTGGGATGCAGCAGGAGGGACCAGCATCCTGCCTTTACACCTGGAGGTGGTCAAGGCCAGGCTGGATGAGCAACCTGATCTAGTGAAAGGGGTTCCTGCCCGTGGCAGGGGGATCTAATGAGATGATCTTTAAGGTCCCTTCCAACCCAAACCATTCTGTGATTCTATGAGCCTATGATCCTACTTGCTCTCTCTTTGCCATACTCCTTCTTTTGTGGTAACAGCCTTACAAAAGATGCTGTTTTCCTGCTGCCCTTGGAACTTCACCAGAAGAGAGAAGCCCCACCACCCCAGAGTTCACCGCACAGAGGCAGAGCAGAAACGCTCCTCTGCCAATTCCCATCACCACTTCAATCTCCAACTGTTTTGCAACACAGGGGGACCCACAAGGACATCACCTCTGGGTAGGCTGGAAAGAGAATTTTACTTAGGGAAACAGTATTTTACTTAAATAAATACATAAAAAAAATCCACTTACGTGATCAAATACCTCTTGAATTTCAGCATGGTGAGCTGGAGCCTTGGCTGAGGAGCAGGTGGTTATCATCAGCCTGGGAGAATGCAAAGCAAACACCCAGAGCCCGGCTTGTGTGCCTGCAGCCAGAGGCCCCTCCCCGGCGGGGCAGCTGGGATGGTGATCCCACAGCAGAGACCTTCCCACTGGTGCCCTGCACTCCAGCACTGCCCCAGGGATTGACCAGGCTCTGCTCCGGTGAGTGGCAACTTTAGCCCTGCAAGGCACTGCCACCTCACGCAGAGGGGGGGCAGGCTGAGCAGGGCATGATGCCACGTGGGGCCACGCCACCCATGTGTGTGTCCCTGTGTCACTCCTTGATTTCACCCATGGCTGTTGGGCTTTGCCCCCCGCTCTTCTCTTTGTGCTTGTCCCTTCTTTTCTCTTCTCATGTTCTCCTTTTTCTTCTTAACAGAGATAGTCACGAGTGTTTAGCTCTTTATCTTGCTGATACAATCTTCAGGTCTGTGCAGGACAAATCACACCTCCATGACATGGAGTCCTCTCCAATGCAGCCTGGCTCCATCCACGCTGGGCTGGGGTTACGGCAATCCCCAGTTCCCTCCTGTGCTTCCCCTCGCTGCTCCAGGCACCACTGAACACACTGATGTCTTGTATGTGCCATCTTCAGATTGGCCTCCCATATTCCTCTAAGCCAGCCAAGTCCCCAAGCCCTGTGCTGCACCAGGATGATCAGCAACAGGACAGCCCTGCTAGAAAGCCAACTGGCTTCCAGCACCAGCGAAAAAGTGGTCACTGAGTCTGCTTCTTGCTGGCTGGTGGACAAATTGAGACAACTCAAAGGAGGACTGGGAGCTGCTCTCCACAATGGAAGTCCACAGCCGGTCCTTTGGCCAGGGTCTCCTCTCTCTGCAGTAGCTTCTCTTCCACATCCTTCCCTTTCAAACTCATCCCGGCATCCTGCACAGCATCATCCATGGCTTTGCATGACCAGGGACCCAGGTAGCAGGACTGCATGTTTCTCCTATCTGGGCACAGACACCTGGGGAGGTGGAGATGGGTGGCTGTGACATGGGCCACCAGGGCCAGTGGCTCAGGCTGTGCAACATCCCCTCTGCAGGACCAGTCACCCCACGTGCCTCCCGGCCCCAGAGGAGAGGACCTTGGCTACATGTGCTTTCCCTTGACAGGGCTCAGGAAGTACATGCTGGGCAGATAAGTCACTTCCAGCCCGGACTTTGGCTTTTTGGAGGGGCAAAAGGGCCCAGCTCCCTCCCTGCCCTCTGGCTGGCAGGGAGGCAGCTGTTCCTCTTACCCTGGCACAGGCAGGTGCTGCCTCTCCCTGTCCACCTCATCAAAACCACAAGTTTGCTGTGGGGCTCTCGCATTCTCCACCCATCCTGTGCTCTGGCTCTCTGCACAGGCTGGCAGCTTATTTGGGAGTCTGGGGCTCCTGAGAGCCACACGTGAGCTAGTTTGTGGGGATCAAACCCCTCTCTGATGCAGGGACTGAGAGTTGGTGCTTTTCCCACTCCTTCCCTCTGCACAGCCATGCTCCATGCAATCCAAGCTGGATAAGGCTGCTTGGGGCATGGTGATGGGGGGTAGGTCACCGAGGGTCTGTGAGCATTCTCCAGGCAGGACCTTGGGGAACATTCTATGGTTGCAGGGCAATAGAATGTTTGGGATCATCCAGAGGCTCGTCAGTGTGAGGGTGCCCAGACAGGCTTGATTTTGCTCATCTTTGATTGTTTCCTCTTGCTCAGTGGCTGCTGCTCAGCTCACTTGTTTCCCTAGGGACAAGCCTGTTTTTC